TTCTCCTCATCTTCCAGATTTTGTAAGAGCCATTGTTGAAATGGGATGACTCTATTCTTGACCAGAATCGTGTGTCTAAAGAACTCCCAAATTCCCTCTGTTTTTCGGCAGCTTCTTAGGATATGCTCAGTAGTCTCATCACATCCCTCACAACCTGGATAGCTGCACTTACCAGAATCGCGGTGATAATCCTCATTTGCAATTCCATTGATTGCAGTGCGAGTTGTTGCAGGATCCCATCTTCGATGTTTTATCTCCACCCTTTTCCAAAACTTCATGGTTTGGTTGATGCCAACCGCTCCATCTTTCGATATTGACACCCAAGCTTTGCACAATATTTCATCTTCATTTTGTCGCCAATTAATTCCTCTCTTGCTTTCCATTTTCATGTGTTCCAGAGACGATAAAAATATGATTTTGTGAGAATGTGATTTAAGCTCTGAGATTGAGTGAAGAGAAATCTGTAAAAGAATGATTGAATATTTAAGGAAAAATATGGTCGTTTTTATGACCATTACTTCGCGGTTTGACAGTTCGACCCAAAATATCACCCTACATGAAAATTTGAGGACATATCTCATGTCGTTTCAGACTGACTCTGGTTTCTGGTTATTCCGGTCCAATCGGCCGGTACGGACCTATATCGCCAAGACGCCAACCATGTATTAAAGTAAGCATAATCTAGGTTAACAGAAAAACGAAGGAGAATGGGTTTACATTTTCAGTATTTTACAAACAAAACCAAACAGAACGATATAAATAAAAGACTTCATTGCCATTATTAATGGCTTCCTTCTTCATTTTGATAATCTGTCACGTTTTTCATCTCGCCCACCAGTCACCAGATAAGAAAAGTCATCGCTTCCTCTCCCAACTTCTTCTTCCGATCACCTTCTTCCACCGCCGGCGATTTCCGTCGGCAACCTAGATCTACCTCACAATCTTCTGTTTCCTATCCTACCGTCTCCTCCAATCATCCATTATCCTCCTTTTCCCCTTTCCAAAACCCTGATTTCGCCCCGCCGAGCGCCCGGGATTCCCCCGCGCTGAATCGCGACCGCCGCACAAATTTGTCGAGTTCCCTCGACAATTCTCCCGGGAACAGCTGCTGGGCTAAATCGGATTCCCTCGAATTCCCGTTCCTCTTATCGGTTGATGGACGCAATTAGGGTTCGCGACAGTGATCTCGCGAACAAGCCGAGCTCGTCGACGTCGCAATCCCCGCTCTCGGTGACGACCTCCACCTCGAGGAACGAGACCATCAATGGCTCCCACGAGTTCGACATCAGTGGCTACTCGCTGTCGAAAGGGATGGGCGTCGGCAAGTACATAGCTTCCGAGACGTTCTTCGTCGGGGGCTACGCTTGGGCGATCTACTTTTATCCCGACGGGAAGAGCCCCGAGGATAACGGGAATTACGTGTCTTTGTTCATTGCGCTGGCCAGCGAGGGGACGGATGTCAGGGCATTGTTCGAGCTGACGCTTATGGATCAGAGTGGGAAAGCGCGGCATAAGGTTCATAGCCATTTTGGGAGGAACCTGGAGACGGGTCCTTATACCCTTAAATACAGAGGGAGTATGTGGTGAGTGCTTATATCTGGCTGTGCAATTTGCTTTCTACTTTCTCTCTGCACTTCGATTTTGCTATCGTACAGTTTATTATGAGATGATTGTGCAATCCCTCGGTAAAGCTAATGTCTTTTTTGGAGGGGTAGTCAGTGAATGCGATCTCTTGCCTGTCGCTCATGGTTAGGTTGGTTGTCAAATTGGTTACTTCATTTAGATTCGTGATGAGTTGGAGATCACTTCAGTACTTGGGAGTTTGCATCTTAAAGCAAGTTAAGTAGTTTATAGTAACATAATTACGGCTCATACTACTCTCTAAGTGTATGTTTAAGTCATATGATTGTGTTATCTTTGAATCGAGATCAGAGATACATCGCAGCAGTAGTGATTATCAATCAGGGACATGAATGTGTAAAGTAAGGTATTTTGTGGATCAGGTAAACAGATAAGATGACTTGTAGGCAGTTGCTAATATTAGGTTTGGTTATATTGTTGAGTGTTTGTTTAGACTCATGATGAATTGGAGAAAACTTCTGTAGTTGGGAGTCAAGCATATATAAGCAGGGTTGGACGACTATCTGTGGTCACCTGAACTTTGGCATCTTTGCTTGATATAAGAAATCCATTTGATGTTGCCAAGATTGTCAATCTGGTAGAACCAGTGGCGCAGTACGTGATATATCTCATGACGGCTATTTATTTAATTTTAAGCATTTACTGGACTTGAGTATTTCAATTGTATATTGAGGCGCATCATAGGTTGTGGTTGAGGACCTGAAGTTGTGTGGTTGTTGCAGGGGTTATAAGCGGTTTTTCAAACGAACTCAACTGGAGACTTCAGATTACCTAAAGGACGATAAACTTGTAATCCGTTGCTGTGTTGGTGTTGTTAAGTCGCAGACAGAGGGACCTAGGACTTATTCAATTCCTGTGCCACCTTCTGATATTGGTCTTCAGTTTGGAATGCTCTTGGAAAGTGGGAAGGGATCTGATGTAAATTTTGAAGTTGATGGAGAAATTTTTTCTGCACACAAGCTGGTTCTTGCTGCACGCTCTCCAGTATTTAGGGCACAGCTGTTTGGTCCAATGAAGGACCAAAACACTACGTCCTTGAAAGTTGAAGATGTAGAACTCCCTGTTTTTAAGGTTCTTTCTCTCACTTCCTCTTTCTCTATACCAATTTGCTTATTTAAGCTGTCTTATTTTTAATAACTTCCGCACATTACAAACCAAGAGAAGAGCAGAAAGCACAGTATCTTCTGCTGCAAACTCTTCTGCTATTATCACAAATGTCATTCGTTTGTATAGTGTGATATCCTGCTTGCTAATGGCTTTCCTGGCTCGCCTTCAAGGTTAGCTTTGTTTAAGTGGTTGATCTGAATAGTTTGTGGTTTTTAGCGCTTAGCTCATTATATCAATGTTAGGAGTGCATAATCTACTCATTTGTTTAAATGCAACGAATGAAGATTTGTGAGGTAGCTTTTGTAGGTTGGTTACCTGTATTAGGTGAGTAATTATGGTGCCATACAGGATGATTGTGATGCCATACTCGAATATACTTGTGGCTTTCATCCGCTATGGTGCTCCTCCTGTGCACAATTCTTACTCCAGCTAAGGTCTACTTTCTTCTTGCTTTCTCCTCGTGATTGATGCTGCTAAAATTGGTACTTGTCTATAACTACTTAAGTTTGGCAGCATTATCAGTTGGTTGAGCAGTTATTGTGAAGAGCTTCACCTAGCTTGGGGCATTGGACGGAACTTTTCCTTGGTGCTGCCCCTTGGAGCTTCATTTTTTTTACCCCTGCTTTTTTGTGCATTTAATGGAGTGGCAGAGATATCTTGTGTCTTGGTCGGTTGTGAAACACTTCCTTTGAGCTTATGAGGAAATAGATCTGAAGCCAAGGATGCAGCAGCATCTTTTCAGAACTCAGATTCTACAGTGATGCGCTGCAGTTTCTTCTGGCTTGGCTGTCTGGAGAAATCTGGGCATTGCTTCTTTCTTTTTATCTCGCTCATGGATATTGGTTAACACAGAATTGCTTATTTACTTTTTTTTAACGGTTAGATCAAGATTAAACAGTTCTGAAATGTAATATCTTTTCTCACTTGTGTGCCGGAATGTCTGCAGGCTCTACTGCACTTCATCTACTGGGATGCCCTACCTGACCTGGAAGACCTTGTTGGTACAGTGAACCCCAAATGGGCTGCCACATTAATGGCTCAGCATCTACTTGCAGCAGCTGACCGTTATGCACTAGAGAGACTCAGATTGCTCTGTGAAGCAAAACTATGTGAGGATGTTGCTATAAATACAGTTGCAACAACACTGGCCTTGGCCGAGCAGCATCAGTGTCTCCAATTAAAAGCTGTCTGCCTCAAATTCATTGCAATGCCGGAAAATCTGAAAGGTTAGCGTACTTTGCACCTCAATTTTGTTTTACTGAAATCTTTCTTTTCCAAAACTGCATATTGCACTTTGTTCAAACAATGGTAGCCCATTTGATGCCCAGAATCCTCTTTCCATGTTCATGTTCAGAGCATCTATATGTTTTATAAAGGGCTCTTATAATTATTCTTGCCAAGGACTTCCTAGTTTTCAACTTTATGCGACTGAGACTCATGAGGAGTATGGGTGAATCTTATGCAGCTGTCATGCAAACTGATGGATTCGAGTACCTGAAGCAAAGTTGCCCTACTGTCATCACGGAACTGTTGCAGTATGTTGCCAGAGTTGGTGAGCATTCTGCAGCTGCTGCTTCTGTTCTTGGGATTGAAAGCTTAGACGGCGATATGAACGGTAGAAGGGTGAAGCAAAGGATCCACTGATTTGTAGCCGTAAGTGGGAAGAATGAAAATTGTGTGATGAAGATCTTGTTAGGGCTTTGCACAGTTTTGCAAACTGTACTGACCACTGTAGGTGTCGTTGCAAGGAGAGAGAAAATGGAAGGGAAAACTAGAGTGAGTGGTAGATGTGGGTTTCATTTGTTGTGTAGTGTATTCACTAACATTGGATAGTAACTTCAAATTTGTGAAGTTCTTAACATTTATGGTTGTGATGTGATATGTTCAGTAGCCTGCTATTGACACTTCAATTAGGCTGGAGCAGAAATCTGGGTGTATGCATCTTCATCTGTTAATGTCTGTATTTCTTGTGGAGTAAACGATTCATGGAAGGTTTTGACTGTCCTGAGTGGATAGCAATGCCAAATCTTATTGTGAGTGGTTATATTAAAGGGTACAATTCCTTGCAAGCGCAAATAGTAAATGATTGATGACGAGGTTTACTCGAGATTGTAAGTTATCGATAGGATATTTTGTACTAAAATTGTAATTCAACCATTTTATTATTACTAAATGTTGTCTACAAATTTAGAATTCATTTTTACAGTTAAACCGTCTGTATTTCACAAAATCATAAATCATAGATGCAATTTGCATGAAATAGTAAGCGAGCACAAACAGTAACCAATAGGGATTCCTTCTATAGAAATAGAAGGATCCATGGCCCTGGAATATCACAATTCACAAGCACAAAAAGCAGGATCTTTATTTAACAAAGTTACATAGACAGTAGAAGTGTACAAATAGTGAATACGAACAATTTGGGGTTAACATAACAAAAGGGTATAAAAACTTCCTATCTCAGAACGAACGAACAAGAGATGCAGAGAATCTGGTAAGCAACCAGCCAACTCTACCCGACTCTGATTTACGAACATCAGACTCCTTTCGTGTGGGCTGACTACTGAGCTTAAACCAGACATGCAACATCCCAGTATTCTCACGAACCAAGAACCTGTTTATTACAGCTTTTTTAACCTTTCAGTTAGAGAAATAAATTACACAACCTGTTCCATTCTCTGCTTCACTTCGTCCTCTCAAGAAAAGATAGTCCCTCCGACCAGTCTTTTGAACCACCCTTAGCACCAAAGTAGTCCATTGCATGACCGAGTACTCGAAGCAGGTGAGTCCAGTTCATAGCAGCTCCATTAAGGGAAAATGGAGAGATTGAAGTCAAAGTGTTACAAACTCAGCCAACCAGGCTGTGTATAACCATCATCAATACCATTGACTTCCCGGTCCACCTTGAGCAGCAGCAACTTTCCTTGCCATGAACTGTGGTTTTGGCTGCAATCCATTGGACCCTTCAATTCCATCGTCTTCTCCCCTGTCGTTCTTGCAGCCTGGGTTTCTTCTCGGATACGAACCGTTCGACGAGGTGTATTGAGATGTGGTAGAAGGGTTTCTAACCATTCTCCGTTGGTCGACAACAGGCTCTGCTGCTGTGGCACAGTTGTTGTATCGCAGTACAGAGCCAACAACTTTCCCGGGACGAGCAGGTCCCGCTGTAGAGATAAGTCAATTAAATTATTAATCACACACAAATATTATCATAATTGAAAGGATAAGGAATTCCAAGGCAAACCACCGAAATGCTAGGTGTTAAGAGTGCTTAGTAAATAACCAAACCACTTCCAGAGATAGGGTTTGAAGAAAGGAATATGTGGTGCGGTTACCTTGAATACTTTGAGGGACTTGAATGGGAGGCCTTGTCATAGGGATACCACCACTCTTGTCCATGTGTGGCTTCTCGATATCTTTGATAGAACATTTAGAAAGATCATTTGCTACTTTTGCTGAGCTCAGCATAGGATTCTTATCTGAATATAATACACAGGCCCTGCATGCACCATTGTAGTGTAAACACAGTGAATAAAATCCCAAGATAGCAGCATGTCAAACCAAACGAAAGAACACTTGCCACACCTTGGCAATGATGCATGAGTTCTTTCTGGCGGAGTAGCAGCAGGCCCACCATTTCCGTAATGCTCCTCAAGATATGCAAATTGCTTCTTGAAATGGTCAACAGCACTTGGGTACATGAAGCCCGTTGGTTCTGAACCTTCTAAGAATTCTTTCAACATTTTTGGATGGTACTCCAGTGTTTCTCTGTAAATGAGCTCTCTTACATCTTCTTTTGTTATTCTTCGCCTCTCAAATTCAAATTCCATCTTGGTAACAGGTTGAGCAGAAGGCTCTCTCTCAACTTTGGCCAAACCTCTGAAATATGGATCTGCAAGGGCCTGGCAAAATGACAAAAAATATAAATCTCTCTTGGAGGGGAATGTACTCGTTCTGTAAGTCATAAGATGAGTAAATAGAGAAACTCACCTCTTCAGCAGTAGGCCGGTCTTTAGGTTCAAATGCTAGCATTTTTTCTAATAATTTAAGTGCAAGAGGATCTGCATGAGGGAATTTGTGAGTAAAAGGAATTGGCTTCTTCTTCCGCATGCTACTAAGGTATCTCCGAGCTTTCTCATTGCGAACCTGTTAATGATAGTGATGCTTTCATTTTAGCATAAGTACCTTCAGGAATTAATGAACATTACGGAATATATGATGATGAGAGGGACTGAGGGAGATACCCTTGCAATTGCTTCAGAAGATGGGGTTCCCAAAAGATCAGTCATCAGATCCAACTGATGGACTACATTTTTCCCGGGGAAAAGAGGTTTCCCGGTCAAAAGTTCAGAAAAGATGCATCCAATGCTCCATATGTCTATTGCTGGTGTGTACTGCATATATAACAGAATAGCAAACTGAGTATGAATACTCACAAGAGGTTTGTATCTGAGTATGTGCAAACAGTTCTACCGATTCTATGCAAGAAGAGAAGCACTAAACATACAGTTTAGTGAGGCTAAAGAGGCAGGAGGGAGCAACATTTAGCGTGACAGTGTGTGAACTTGAATAAAAAGTTAAGACCAAAGAAAAGCTTTAAAGCACTAATCACGCACCTTGGAGAAAAACGACCCACACAATTCTGGAGCTCTATACCATCTCGTAGCAACATAATCCTGGGAAAGAGCAACAACAGAAACGATTAGCTTTTCCGAGATGCAAAATTGTTAATAGTCTACTTTATTCCCCCAAGTTCCTCTGCATGTAAATTCATTAAAGAAAGGAACTTACTGTCCAGAAAATAGCCGTGGGAGTGTCATTGAAGGCAACTCTTGCTAGGCCGAAGTCACAAATCTTTAATTTACAGTCAGCATTGGCTAAGATATTTTTAGGTTTTAGATCCCTGTGAAACACATTGGCTGGTAGAAAGAAGAAGAATCAATACAGGCATGATTCACAAGTACTCACAAGAAAGGGTATAATGAAGTTCACAGCTTTTACTGACGTCAAAGTAGTTCGTCAATCCCCTCACCAGTGTGTATGTACTTCAGGCCTCGGAGAAGCTGATAAAGAAAGAACTGATAGTGCTCGGGTGTTAGATCATCATTTGCTTTGATAACTTGGTGTAGATCAGATTCCATCAACTCAAAAACTACATAGATGTCCTTAAACTCCCTTCTGGAAGGGGGCAACAAGATGTGCTTGATCTCCACAATATCCGGATGACGGAGAAGCCTGAGAAGTTTGATTTCTCGAAGGATGCGTGTGGCATCAGAGACATGTTCAAAGATGTCATTGATTTTCTTAATTGCAACTTTCTCTCCTGTGTGTGTGTCAAATGCAGAGCAAACAACACCATAACTTCCTTTGCCAATAACTTCCTCTATTTTATACCTGCTCCCCTCACCATACTCGGTGAAAAAGTCAACTTCGACAGACTGCAGCAAAATTGCAGCAATGTATTAAGACGTAGGAGAAGAGCAACACAGTTAGATGGAACATAATAAACTGCTGAATGGACCAGCAGTGTTCAACTAATATTTGAACAAAACCAGAATTCGGCCAACACATATGCGAACATCTAACAAAGAAAAGGCACTTGGCCTACATTTTATCTAAGAAAATCTCTCATACTAAAATTGCCGGTCTAAACATGACTGGTTTCTGTTCTCATGTCAGATGGCCTTTAAGTTAAGTTCCAATAACATGGATTAGCTTTATCACAGAAACTACCAAATGGCTACTGCCGTAGACAAGCTGAAGCAGTCACAGATACTCGACCCAGATTTCTGTTCTACATGGAACCCGCAAAACTTAGTAAGCTACGAACTTACCTCTGACTATCATAGCAATGGATGAACTTATCATTTTATCAATTGGTTGTTTCACATATCAAATCATCCAGAACATAGGCAGTTGATAAGCAAACCCATTATTATATAGATATGAGATAGTGGGACCAGCCATAACTCGGCAATAGGGAGACAAAACATGACGAAATGCTGTTGGTTCAAAATCCAGATGTGCAGTCAACAACATCCAAGTTAATAATTAACATCCGAAAATCTACTGTAAAGTTACACAAGAAGATTACAAGTCCAAATTCATAGTTTATGTCTAAGCTTTTGCAATTTGATTCAACCAAGTAGTTGACACCACATAAGCATCACAGCACATTTTTACCTTCTTTCGCTGATCAGGCTGCATCTCAACACCAACAAAGCATTAATCTTTCTCCAAAATTCTTTATCAAGCGGGAGTCTGCCTCCACCCACAAACCGCAGTGTCTTACAGTACTGAAAGCTCTCTCGAGTGTCAATTTGACCAGTAGAGAAGAAGAACCCAGATAGCCAAAACTTCAAAGGATTAAACTTCACCCCAGATCAGCAAAAACCCAGTAAAATCTGAAATGGAATCCCACCAAAACAAAACCTAGAACTTCCTTAGAAGCCAAATCGAATCCAACTAGCAAAGCAAAGATCGGGGCAATCAATTCGGCACCGAAAGGAATTGAGCAAATCCCAACAAGTTCCCGAATCGGGGAAAGGGCAACTCACCCCGCACTGTCTGGCACCGAAACAACAGAAGGAACAAGACAGAAGAGACGAAAGAGGGTAAGTAGACAAAGGGCACAAGAGCTTGCGGCCAATTGAAGAAGAAAACAAATGGAGACTAGAATGAGAGAACCCAATTGATTAACGGATCAAGTTGGAAGTGGGTATACAAAGAGAAGCAGCGGCAAATACTAAAAAGCTTTTTCTGGGGGAAACGGAACCGGCGATGATCGCTACTACCTATGCCAGTGTAAGAATCAAGAAGGAAGTGGGAAGGATACAAAAGCAGAGAGCTTTTAGATCTCGGAGGAGGAGGAAGAAAGGAAGAATAGGAGGAAGGTGTGAGATGGGGGCAAAATAATATCCAGCCAGTAGTGATGATGAACAACACGATGTGTTAAAGCTTAGAGTCGAAGTTGAAGAAAGGGGAAGGCTTTCTTTGTGGCGGAGAGGAAAGAGGGAGGAAAATAATGAGGTTGAGAAAATTATATTATTTTTATTATTTATTGTTTATTTGTTTCTGTTTGGATATTTTCCCCAGTTTTTGGGTGGAAGGGAAAACAAATAATTCATTAGCAGGTTGGAAATGACAGTTTTGGCCATTGCACCAGATTCGCAATTTCTAGATGGATTTTCCTGTTCAGTGAGTATAGATTGGTTTGGACTTTGCATTTGGAGTATGGATTTCACAAATGAGTTAATTTAATGGATTTGGAGTATGGATTTGTAATAATTATTGTGTTATTTAAATAAGTTATATTAATTTTTGGGTGAAATGTAAATTTTACTTTTTGTTTTTAATATAAAAAAACAACACACATAAAAAGGTAAAGACATAGTTGGAACTCTTGGAAGAAAGTAAAACACAACAATCTCAATCAAACAATCTCACCAAAAACTTGAGATTTAACTATCACTCATTTTGAGTGATAGTTTGTGTCAAATCAAGCAAACAATGCAAGTATTGTTTGCGCAGAAAATTCAAAAAAATGATGCATTGTGGACAATTCATGGATTGTAACTATCCCAACCAAACAATCACCAAAACCAAACGACCCCCAAAATTATTTCTATCATTCTGAACTACTTGTCATTTTCCTATAAACTTAAATTGATGCAAAACGAAATAGTTCAAATTCACTCATCCCAGTTGATGCATTCCTATTTTGTGGCCAAATTCTCTCATCCACCTATCTAAAAAGCGGATAGGGTGTTAACACTGGTAAGTGTTAGCATCATGCTAACACTTACTATGTAAACAACCCTATAACAAGTTCGTCCCCTCCTCCCACCTCTAATGAACTTTCTATTGATGCATTCCTATTTTGTGGCCAAATTACCTCTTCCAATTAGCTAGAGAGTTGATAGGGTGATAGCACTTTTAAGTGTTAACATCATGCTAACACTTATTATAGAAATATTATAGTAAATGTTTGAACCTAACTGAGTGTAGGAGTGAGGTTCGAGTGAGAGTTTGGGTCAAGAAGAAACGCGAACGTCGAGTTTGATCAAGAAGACAAGAATCAGAGAGTTGAGTGAGAACCGGAGTCCGAACTTTTAGAAAGAGAAGTAATTGTTATAGAGAGAGAATGGTGAAAAAATGCGATCCCCTCACCCACCGGAGTAAATGCCATATTTATAGGCTACATGGTGGTGGGTGAGTGGGTGGACTTCGAGACGGTACAACGACGTGACTACTGATGTGTCAGGGATTTAGGCCATCCCCCAACCTAGGACTTGTCAGAGGGTTGTCTATGATTTGTACCTAAAAGTCTTGACGTGACCTTCCCTCGGGAGACACAATGACGCCCTCTCCGGCTCTTGAGTCTGGTTGCCGCCTTGTCTTCCCACTTGCGCGCATAGCCTTGCTCTTGCCGCGCGTGAGGTCTCGGCGCTGTCGGACGTGTCGCGCCCTCGCCGTGTCTGTTGCGGCACGCGGTTTGACATGCTCTTTTGGCGCGGGGGTGATCCGAGTCACATGCCCAACAATTGCCCTCCACAGGGGGTGTTTCTCGAACGCCTCCTGTTGTGATTTCCGCTCTGCTGACTCGGATCCACGTGTTTTGCGAGGACTTGGCCGGCTAGGTTTCGTGCGCCCTGAAGCGTTGTGATCGCGCTACTATATTGGGGCTCTCCTGTGCGTTGCGGGGTACGGCGCGGTTGCTTTGCGTGCGCGATCTATACGGGGAGCTTTGTGTGCGCGGTTGCTTTGCGTGCGCGATCTTCACGGGGAATCTTGCGGTCGCTTTGTGTGCGCGATTTCCGCGAGGTTTTCTTCGAGCGTTTTTTGGGGGTGGGGTTTTTCCCTTTTGCGGGTGTGTCATGCCCCCCAGGCGTTGCGCGTCACTAGTGACGTCGACGACTAGTGCCTATGCTCGTCATGATTGTTCGGGATTGGAGTCTGCCACGTGTCGGTGTGCGATTGGTTAGCTCTGGCGGCCTTTTGAATTTCGAAATCCTCTGACGGTTGCGATTTTCGATGACCTTTAACCCCTTCGACTTCCCATCATCACCTATAAATATTCGGCTGCTCCTGAAATTTTCTTCCATCCTTCCTTCTTCTTACTTTGCTCTCTCGCTTTTCCATCTCTCTGTTTCTAGGATTCCTCTTCTTCTTCTACAACCTCAAGTCTGCCGTTTGCCACTGCTACTCAAGGTATTGCCATGGATAGCACCAACATCAATGAGACCGAGGTCGTGCAGGGCGAAGAAGGTAATCCTCTTTCTTTCTCACCTACTTCTACCCGACTTGAGTCGGACCCGGCCGATTCCGGCAACGGGGACGACGGGGACGGCGGTGGTGTTAGCAACGACGACGATGCTAGTGACGACGAGGGTGCTTCGGCGTCGCCGTCGGGCAACGTCGATTCCGGCCGGGGTTTTCAGGAGTCTTCCAACGCCGATATGGTTCCGTCGGGTAGTGGGCCGGCGGCCTCTAGTGGGGTCCTGATAATCCGGCGTACTCATGACGGAAGATCTGGCGGGGCGACCTCCGAGGTGCGCGATGGGTCAGAGACGCAGTCGGAGCCCCTTTACCATGTCCGCGTGACAGAAGCAGTGAGCCGGCTAGGGTTCCAAGGCGTGGGCGCGGTTTACACTGTTCTGGATTGGGCCGAGATGTGGGGCGATCAGCCAGCCCCACATGATAATCTTCTCCGCGGGCCCGACCACGCATCAATTTACGGGCGCGAGGATGTGGAGGAGATTGTGCGTGGGTTGGGATTGCCCCCCAGCTGGCAGTACGCCGTACCGTCTGTGCGCAGCATGGTTGGGAACTGCCCCCCGGGCTGGTTCGGCGTTTACACAGAGTATTGGGTGATGGGATTCAAATTTCCCATCGACCCACTGCTGTGCGCCTTATATGAGAAGCTCAATTGCTCAATCGCGCGGCTCTCTCCCTCTGTTATTATGCACGCTAGTTGCCTCCGAGCGGCGTGCAAGCGGCTCAAGATCACGCCCACTTATGGGTTGTTCCGGAAATTTTACAAGATCAAGGAGCCCACCAAGACGAGTGATTGTCTTTCCATCAAGCGGCGTGATAACAGGCCTGATGGCTTTGTGTACGGCTCGCCCAGGCTTATGAAGACCTGGTTCGAGCGCTTCTTTTATGTGAAGCCCACGCCCGGGGAGTGGGCGAGCGCGTATGTTGCGGAGCCAACCACTTGGATGAAGGGTGGCACGCATGCGTACGAGTCGGAGCTGGGCAAGTACCCCGGGCTCGATCAGGAGTATGAGGCGTGCCTGCTTCAGAAGTTTGACCTACACTCGGCTGGGGTCCGCGAGGCCTGCCTGGCCGAATTGTTTGCCGATGGTTAGTTGTGTTCCTTTCGTTTTGTATTCTTTCTTATTAACCGCCCTCTTAACATTTATTGGCGCAGGTGTTGACTTTTCTAGCTTGGCGAGCATGATGTCTGTTGATGAAGTCATCAAGGCTCCTCGCGGTGGGAGGAAGAAGTCGAGGGAAGGTAAGCAGGCTGCCTCGGAGAGGGGCGGGAAGAGGAAGACGGCGGAGCAGCCGTCCATTGCTGAGAAGGCGCCGAAGACGGTGCGCATTATGGAGCCGGCTGTGCAAACAGCACCGGCGACGACGCGCGTGCCTTTGGCGATTGCGGAGCATACTCCGCGCGCAGCCAGCACCGCTCGTCCCGACAGAGGTGGTGCCGGTAGAGGTGGTGCCAGTAGCTCGTCTGGAGCTGGAGTCCAGCAACAGCTGCCGCAGATGGCCGGGGGGGCCATCGACTACTTCCGTGACGTGCGGTTGCATACGGGCGCCGCGTGTAACGTTGCGTCGGCGAATGTTGCGCTGCGGGCCGTGGGTCCCCTTTTGGGCATCCCGTCCCGCATGGAAAAGTCTGATCCGCTCATGGACCTTGCTCAGATCCATTTCGCGGTAAGACTTTCTGCGGAGTGTGAACTATCATCATTTTTTTTTTATCAGAAATTTTGCTAAGTGTTATCGCGCTGTATTCGCAGGGCTTGCTGGCGACTTTCCGCGCTCAACAGGAGCGGGGACGCGAGCGCGCGAAGTTGAGATCCGAAGAGTCTCGGATTGAGCAGCTGGAGGGGAGACTTGCTGGCGCTGAAAAACGCGCGGAGTTGGCCACCACAAAAGCCAATGACGCGCTAGTGGAGCTCGGCGTCCTGCAGAGCAAGCTGGCGGATCAGATGGACACCGCAAGGGAGCGCGTCCGGGCTGAGTTGCGGGCGGAGTTTGAGGTGGAGCGGAAGCGTCTGCTGGACGAGAAGGAGAAAGAGAAGAAGGAGCTGGTGTCCGACGCCGCAGACAAGTTGAAGCGGGCTCGGGATGAGTTTGAGAAGGAGAAGAGGGATTTGGTGCGCCTTCATGATGTGGCTAAGGCGGAGGCGGTTCGTGAAGCGCAAGCTGTTGCTGTCCGCCAGTTCAAGTCTTCCTTGTCATTTGGGAAGATCATTGCTGATGCGATGACTAAGGCTGTGATTGCCGTGGGCAAGAAGGTGCGCCCGGAGAATCCTGGCTACCAGTGGGATACTCGTGCCATGGTCGCGCATGTGAGGACGTGGCTGAACGAGAAAAGGCCGCTGGAGTCGGATTCGGAGTCGGAGGAAGAGGAGGAAGAGGAAGGGCGTCAGGAAGAAGAGCAGCAGCAGCAGCAGCAGGAAAGGGAGAAGGTCGAGGGCGCCAGTGGTGGCGAGAAGAAGGATGACGGGGCGAGTACTGATGAGGAGGATTCCCAACCTTTGGTGCGCCGTAAGACAGGCCTGATGGGTGCGCAGAAGAATGTTAGTGATGCTCAGGCGGACTAAGTGTAGTCGCGCCTTTCTTTATATTTTGTTTTTTGCTTTTGACTTTATCCTTTCTGTCGTTAGTTATTTTGATGTAGCCGAGCGCGTTGAACACTTATGGTGCTCCCGACTTATTAAATCCAACATCTTTTGACGACGCTCAATTGCTAGTGTGCTTATCTG